ATTTGGAAATACAAACTTTACATCTCTTAGATCGTTAGATTAATCAATCCACAATGGTATTGTCGCATCCCCGCCTCCCACGAATTTTGGGCAGTCTCCGTGGATCCCACAGAGCCAAACCCTTTGGCCCCCGTAATGGTCCTCAATTCCCCCCCCCTGATCCCACAGAACCTAGCTACTAGTACGTAGCTAGTCTAGCTAGTCCTGAATTTTGACTGTTCTTAGATCTAGCCTGGCCTCGTCGCCCTGGTGTGACTCCAGACTCCAAATATTTGTATGTTTAGCCACGTAGACAAGTAAGTGAGGAGACCCCGAAACATAATTTCTAGTTTTGCCAACACAATTCCTTGTTGGCAGTATTCCATTTCGGGAGAACGGGGAGATCAGGAGCAAGAGCACGAGCATCTCAATTCTCAAACCTCTTACGTGCTCAACGACCCGTATCTCAATTGCCCTTGTGAAAGCTACCCATTTATGTCTCCGTGGATCCCGCAAAGCCAAACCCTTTGCCCCCCGTAGTGGTCCTCCATTTCTTGCCCCTGATCCCACAGAACCTAGTCCTGAATTTCGACTGTTCTTTGCTTAAGCCTGGCCCCGGCTGGCTTCCGTAGATATTTTCCCTACTCTAAACCCCCCTCACACTCCAGTACTCCAGATTGGTTAGTAATTACTGGAGTACTTATTAATTAACGCACAGGTAAGACTTTCTGGAGAATTATCGGTACCAGTACCGGTGGGCCCTTTTCTCGAATCTTGACCTCGAAGCATCCGAGTTCCTCGATGGCTCGATCACTGGTCCCATCAACTCACTTCGGGGTGCTACCGGTACAGACTCTTATGTGAAGCTGTACTGTACCATGCATTCATGTAAAAAATAAATGCTGCATTGGCTTCCTCACCTGTCCCACTTCCACAGCAACGATTCCAACCATTTTTAGACCACGAAGTCAACAACTGCATCGTTATCCAACCCAAAACTCCATAAACCTAACTACTGATTGACCCATCGACAATGGCGAAGTACACTTTTCCTCTCCTGCTGAGCCTCCTGGTGAGGCTGTCTGTGGTCTCCGCTGCATGTACATCCAGTGGCGGTGGTGTTATCAATCCTGATGACAGCATTGACTGCATTGGGCCTGGCAGTGGCTGCCAAGGTGCCACTATTTCAGGGTGTACTGTGGTTCGCTGCGTTGGATCCACTGCCTGTCAGAATTCTATCATTTCCAATGTTGAAAGTGTTATTTGCAGGGACGGTGCTACTGCTTGTGGAAATGCCAAGATATCAAACGTTAGTGGGGAGGTCACCTGTGGACCTGTAGGTAATGTCAACTGTTTTCGATTGGAACTAACCAATGCACCAAAAATCAGCTGTCTTGGCTCGGGCCAATGCTTTGACATGAGAGCAAACAATGTGCAAGTCCTGGATTGCCTAGGACAAAACAGCTGCAAGCGTGCAACGATACATAATGCAGGAGTGCTGAACTGTGTCGGAACCACATCCTGCCACCAATCAACTGTGAATAATGCAGCAGTGATGAATTGTGCTGGACAAACAGCCTGCCACTCAACCTTCGGATCCTTAGCACCAGAAATCAATTGCAGTGCCCAACATGCTTGCCATTATTTCGCTCTACCACAAGCTTCCTGCTTGAACTGCCAATCCTCTGATTCATGTTCGTTTGTCGCCATTGATGGGCCCTTTCAGGTTTCTATTGCCGCTGGAAGTCATGGGACCTGCCCAAAAACCAGTACAGTACAAGGTGACCCTCACTTCCAAACTTGGAATGGGAAGTGGTATGGTAAGTTTTGATTCCTGTTTCTTCAGTATAGTATGTGCCATGGGTTAATGCATGGTTGCGTATCTTACATTCCCTCCACCGCAACCCCTATCATAGACTACATGGGAGCCTGCGATCTCATCCTACTTGATGCCCCCCAGTTTGAGGATGGATTCCCTCTGTTGGTCGTCATTCGAACAACCACTAGATACGATTACAGCTATGTGGAAAGCGCCGCCATTAAGATTGGAGATGACATCTTGGAGGTTGCCAGTTTTGGAGAACACTTTTTGAATGGAGTGGATGGAGTTGACATGGTCCATGAGGACATGTTCTTGGGTCCCTTTCCGGTTCACTACAAGCAAGTTGATATCCGGACACATACCTTTGATATTTCCTTGGGCGGTGGTGAGAAAATTACCCTCAAGAGCTACAAGGATCTTGTCTCAGTCAAGCTGGACAAGGCTGATGCCCAGAGGTTCTTGGGGAGCCAAGGAATGCTAGGAGATTTTAAGACTGGACAGACCATGTCCCGGGATGGCATCTCCATTGTTACGGACCCTGACCTTCTTGCGACCGAGTGGCAAGTCCATCCTGAGGATGATGGGATGGTGTTTCAGACTGCCCGAGCCCCTCAGTATCCTCAGTCCTGTCAACTCCCACGGCAATCCAAGACCACCAAAAGAAGACGTCTTGGTGAATTGATCGTCTCTGAAGACGACGCAAGAAATGCCTGTGCTGGTGCCAACAACATGGATGGCTGTGTGCATGATGTGATGGCTACAGGAGATTTGGAACTTGCCTCTGTGGTATGGTAGAGCATGGTCCACAAGTGAAGCAAGCAATGGGCAGTTTGAAATTTGTGTGATCGAATGGCTGGTTTCTGGTCTTGCCTGCCAGGTCTGGCGACAACAATGTCAACATTTACGTTCGTTGAGTAAATTGTATTTTATAAAAATGTTTTAAAACGAGTTCTGGTTGGTTTCCCGTGGATTATTGTTGGACCTGTTGTGTCCGTGATGCTTGCTTGCTTGCTTGCTTGAGCGTGCCCTGACTTGTTCCAAGGGCGTGTGCTAGCCGAGCTACTAGCACTTTGGAGCAGACGGTCTGTAGCCACCGTAGCTCGGTACAGTACGGTACGGTAGCTACAGATGATAGCTGCTGGCTTGGAGTGGAGCCTCTTGTACGCACCTTTTCGTGAACGAACAGGAAGACGCAGAAGAATTTGGGAAAAATTGAACCTATTTTGCTTTTATGGCCAGGCAGCCATACGGTATGGTGCCATAGTACATTGAGACTAGCGAGTTACTTTGATGTGCATCTCTCCGTTTTGGTTGACCAAGATGCCGTTCTGTTTGCGAAAACCCACCAATGCCACAGTTCTCTCGGCCCCTTCTTGCCTAGAGTAGCTGCATGCATGGCCAGCTAGCTAGACCCGAGCTGTAAGTGCAGCACTAACTTCTTGCAACTTGAACGGTAAGGCGGAAGGATGGATTGGGAGTCAGCATTTTTACCCTACCTGTATCTCGGGCACACGTTTCGTCCATACAGGTAGACTGTGAGATCTTCACGCGATAAGTTCTTGAATCGATATCTTGTGGGCTACTCGAGAGCTACTTTCAGTGACCTACAACATCAGCTCATGTGGACTGGCCTGTGACTGTGCCTATGGTGCTAGAGCTAGAAGGCACACCAAGTTGGGCTTTGAAGCAGCATTACTAGTGTTATTGCTCTAAAGCTCACTTGGAGTGGATCAATTTGCATAAGCTTTTGATCCATAGAACCTCCATTTGTGTAGTCAGCCCATTTGAGATGTTATGGGCTGATGAAGTGGATGGTCCATGTGTGTGATGTTGTATGAGGTTGATGAACGTAGTGGGCGGTTCGTGCCATGAAAGGCCCGGCTACGTTCAAGTCACCGATGTAGGATGGGTGTTGAAGAGTGTTTTGGTTATTAGTTTGGAGATGTGAAATAAGAGACAATCTATTAGTTAAGACTAGTCTCAATGGTGTGTTGTTAGATGTGGGTGAAGTGATGTGTGGGTCATGTTTGTGAATGGAATATGTCGCTGCATGCGTGTTGCCAAGCCGTTGGTTAGGGCTCCAATTTGTTCGTGAATGTACTGGAGGAAAGTTCTGGAGGTCCATCGGCCTTGTTTCATGATGGTGATTTCATCTGCACCATTGAGTTTCATTGCCATGGCCCCTCCAGCCCGTAGAGAATGGCTGCTGACATTGTCTGGGGTAAACCCGTATTGTGTGAGATTAAGTTGGGTGACTGCTGATTTGATGGTGTTGTTAATGTCGCGGGGTCGGATTTGCTTGGGCGATCGATCTGGCATGTCAAAGTAGGTACTAATGGCTGTGTTCATATTGTTGGTGTGTTTCATAATGTGTGCAACCCGTCGTGCTAGAGCTTTGACAGGGCTTGTAGTCGTGTGGGTGCATTGGTGATGGATGCATTGACCCTTTCGTCCATTTTTCTGGTTGGTGATCCTGAGGGTTGCATATTCAGCTGTGAGAAGGATGTGTAGGGGGGCAGTGTTGGGTATAAGAGATTGGTCTGGTCGGCGTAAAATGATATCTTTAACCCGAAAACGCTGGGTGCGACGTTGTTGCTTGTGCACTACGCTAAAAGCTAGTGTAAAGATCTTTCGAGTGTTTTGAGTTTGAGAGAATGAAAGTTATGAGAGGATTAGAAAGCTATGAAAACTAATCAACGAGAGAGAATCCAACAAAGGATCGTAGATCTGAACTCCCGCGGGAGACTGTAGAGTGTGATAGAGTAGTTGCGGTAGCAATCCTACTCACTCCACGATCCAAAAACGGACGCGTGGAAGATTCGTCTAGATTTATCTAGAGCGTGGAATCTCTCCACGCCAGCTAATATCTAGCGCGATGTTTACCATCGACCTAGTATGACTAGCGTCATGAGAACCCTGTCTCAATGACTATTCACGAAAGACTCAGTCATGAGTCGAACTCAAACCCTATTAGGATCGAGTCGCGAATAAGGCTAAGAGCCGTGTATGCATTCGCCCCCTGACAAGGGTCACGGAAGGCACGACATCAGTCGGACAAGGAGAACATATGAATAAAGTGCGGGGCACTCTCCGGAGATTTGGATGTAGACAAGTGCGTCGCACGAGCAATCCTACAAGGGGATCAGGCCTTGTATGGGCGTAAATACCTTATGTTCCAATCTGGTAGACTGTGCCGCCATTGGGGTAGATGTCGGAGCCGTACAGTGCCATTTGTTATTGACTCGGTCTGTTGTGTAAGGACCTTGTGCGTTGGCTGACCGTAGTAACGGTTCTGATATTGATGAATCACATAGTGTCGTTGACATGGTGTTGAAGAGGGACACGTGCCGTATTCTCCTTATCCGGTGTTTTTCTGAGATAAAGTCGTTGGCGACGTTCCTTAATGTATTTCGGTTTGCTTTGAAACGGATCGTAGTGAAGTCGTCACGATTAACGCGCGTGAATTTGCGACGAAGTCCATATTCATCCCGGAGAGTTTTCTTGACCTCTGCGCGGGATCACTTTCTCTTGTCCCATGACGACCGTCATGTATACTGGTGTAACCCACGTCTGTTTCAACAACGATGGTTACTCCGTCTGCTGGTTGGAGCAGCCCTTGGTAGTTCATTGGTCCAATGAATCCACGAAATTCCTTACTGTTGGTAGGTAGAGAGATAGCTGGATCGCATATGTTATCTTTTTAGTTAAGAGTGGGCTTCCTTCTCGGAAGTCAAGTGCTAGATACTCCAGTTCTTCCTATCGAGGAAGGGCCTTGGTGAGTGCTTTGATTTCAATCCGGACTTCTTGGAGTCTTTGGGGAAAGAGTCATCCTACTGTTCAAGGCGATCTGCGAGATCGACGTCCTTAGGTATGAGTTGATCATATAACGTATGCACGACATTTATCCAAGTCATGCAGCGTGAGTTTCCCATCTTCCTTTGGAAAGATGTCGGGACTATTACATAGGCCCAATGGCAACCTCTGGTACTCGTGTTTCCCTTCGGGAGTGCAATGGTATAAGTGTTGCTTCGAGTGGATATGACAGCTCGATGTGGTATTTGTCCCGTCGTTCAGGTCTAGACTGGTAGCGCACTTGAA